AAGAGAGACACTTGAGGCTGGAGCCCGGGTAGGACAGAGAAGGTATTCTAAAGAGAGACACTTGAGGCTGGAGCCCGGGTAGGGCAGAGAAGGTATTCTAAGAGAGACACTTGAGGCTGGAGTGATGACAGTCAAGAACACTTCCTGCTCTTGCAGAGGACAAGGGTTCATCTCCCAGCTCACAACCACCAGCCACTCCAGCTGCCAGGTGTCTGACTCCTCTTCTGGCCCCCACGGCACGGCTCTCACACACATGTACCCACTCATACATACATATCCTTAAAAGTAAAACAAATCTTTAAAAGAAAGACATGTGTGTCCCCTTCAGAAAGAACAATGGAGATAACCTGAGGTCTCTGTCCCCACAGCCACTCAAGAACAGGGTTTGGTAAACTGTCTCACATCCAAATCTGTCCATCTTCTGATCTTTGCCTCATAGTTTTTTAGAAAATTTAAGGCATCCATTGACATGGTGGACAGGAAAATTATATTTCTTCTCTCCCCATTTTGGCCAAATTATAAGTAAGTTCATTTTTCATGATTAATTTCTGATTCCAATTTCTTTCGGAATACAAGGAAAGGAAGGCAGTGGGCTATTGACCCGAGTGATCAGGAGGAAGCCTGCGGCTAACTGTTGAGATCAGTCTGCACCCCACCTGAGTCACTACAGCGTATGTAAAATCAATGCTTTCACGCTGTGCCTTGCTACGGATGACCCTTTTACAAGCAGCACTTGGCTTCATTTTGAGTGCAAGTGCAGAGGCAGAATACCTCTGCATCTCATTGTGCATGTAGACACCATCACCTGCCCATCACCATCCACGAGGCACAGGCTGGTAAAACATGGTCCCGAGAGTAAAAGGTACCACCGGTAAACTTCGGAAGATAGACTTGGCCTATGTGAACGCACAGGCACATTCAATTCATCAGAAGTACGTGAGAGCTTGCTGAGCATGCTAGGCCAATGAAGGGCACAACCTGAATCACAGAAAAAAGAGGATCCCCAGTACTGCAATGGTACGAAATTTCCTTACCTTCCAACCACAGGGCTTGGTTAGTGTCTTGAGCATGCTACACCAGAAGCATAGACAAGACATATTTGTGTCTTTCCACAATGTCAGAATTTACTGAATGATAATACATCCACAAGCTATGTTGGTTTTGTTGACTGTAAGACCCACCCCACTGGCCTGCCATCTGACTACCTGATGTGTGTGTTCAGAGAATCTGATTGTCCTTGGACCTTCAACTCATCTCATTTCTCGCTATTAATACAACACACTCTAATTGTCCACCTGTCCGCACATCTATTGGACTGTTTGTCTGGACCTGATCCCACACCTCTGTCTGTGGCTTCTAAGGTCCCACCCCCTACTTCTGCAGTGCCGTTCAACCCCAAGGCACAACTCAAGACTGCAGCCTGGCAGCGTGGCTCTAGCAGCTCTCCATTAGGTTCCTTACCTAACCCCAGCAGTGATTCTGCATCTGAACCAACCTCGGCCTCCCTCCAGTACGGCCTCTTTAAACTTTAAACTTTGTAGCCACACTATAACCTACATATAGATAGATGATAGATATAGATATTAAGTACTATGTAGTGGGTAATGTATGATCTGAGAATTAATGTTAGTGATTAAGATTTGAATAAATAGCTTTTGATTGTCAATGCCAGCCAATAAGGGAATCAGGACTACCTGGTACATTACAGTCAATAAAATCAACATAGCTTATGAATGTACTATTATCCAATAAATTCTGACATTGTGAAAAGTCACAAATGTGTCAGTCTGTGCTTCTGACATATCTCACTCATGACACTAAGCAACCCCTGTGACTGGAAGACAAGGAAATTCCCTGCTGCTGGGAGGTTTCCCTCTCCTTCCTAGGACCTCAGGGTGTCAATTCCTCATAAATGCATGTTCATGAGTTGCTATAGCAAAGAGGGCCTTGCTTTTGATTCGGTCTTGTTTGTGACGGGTACTCTAGTGTTTCAGTTCTGTGATTTGAAACATTTCTGATGAACTCTCGTGGGTCAAACCTTAACTTGCTGTGTGATATTGGTGCCATTTCGTAAAGGAGTCACAAGAGAAATGCAAAACGCCTATTGTTTAGAAGACACAGTTGAGCCATTTGCTGAATCATTTGGTTCTATGACAGGAAAGTTCAGATCAGGAGGGAGAGGTCCATCCCAAATAGCCTGTAAGCCTACTAATATCTAGCCAGCTATCTCACAGGGATAATGTGGAGAACTCTGAGGCAGAGTGTCATCTGGGGGAGAACGAAGATCAAAGTGAAAGCCAGCATTTCTGAAGCAAATGTGGCCAGATTAGAAACACAAGGAGCTTTGTGGAGTTCAGGGCTAGAGAAAAGCCCTGCCGAAATCCCATCCATTTGCTCTTAATCCAGTTTTTTTGGAGGCCACTAAACTGTATTCACATGCCCCACAGCAAGTGATCTTTCCCTAAACCCAGTCTTGAAGATGAGAAAGGCTGGGTGTGGCATCACGTGCCTGTCATCCCAGCTCTAGGGAGTCTGAGGAGTTCCAGGTCAGAACTACATTGCAAGACCCTGATTTAAAAAGGAAGAAAAGAAACAGGAAGGAAAGGAGAGAGGGAGAGAGGTAGTGAGTGCAAGAAAACAAAGGCAGGACTTGAGAAAGCTGCAACAAACCAGTTTGGGATGATGTTCTTCCTAGAAAAGTTTGCTGCTGGGGTTGGAAGGGGTAGCTCTTGCTCCCCACAAGCATAAGGGCTAGGGTTCGATTCCCAGAACCACATAGAAAGCTGTGCGCGGTGGCACGAGCTTGTAATTCCAGCACTGAGGAGGTGGAGACAGGCAGAGCCCTGGGTCATGTTGGGCACCTGTCTGTAAGCTTCAGATACAGTGAGCGACTCTGTCTCAAAACATAAGGCAGAGAACGGTTGAGAAAAGACATCCAGTGTTGACCGCGGGCCTCCGTATGAATGTCCACACATGTGCATGCACCAAAAGGAAAGTCTGTCTTCTGTCCAGTCCCAATTAGCACATTCATCTCAGTGTCCCTGAAGACAAATCTATGCTCACTCCAAATGTGTCTGATCACTCACGTCTGACTTTCTCTGGCAAAGTGGTCCTGGCATGCTTAGAGCTAGGCTTGGTTTTCTTGGAAGCAATCAGCCCTGTTTACTGTCTCTGCACTTGGAAAGCAGCCCGTCAGGCCTGGCAGGAGCTATCCTAAAGTGAGCGGAAAGAGACTGAAGCACTTTTTCCCCCTCTGAAAATTGAAATCTGCTGAGCTGTGCACCAAGGGGCAATAATCTTTCCTCTCTAGTGGTGGTCTAGCCTGTAGCTAAGGTGAAGTTGATGAAGGTGTTTGTTTGCATGTCCCACTGTCTCCAGAGGGGACTAGAAAGAACTTGGAGGTGAGCTGATAAATGTAATGGCATTCTTCTGCTGGACAAAGGAGTATGTTTGTGAGAATACAGCTAATAAGCTGGTTCAGCATCTTGGAAATAAACATCCTCCTCCTCGCTCCCTCTGTGTATTGAGCACACTGCAAAAGATAGTTCACCCAGTAACTTGGACAGCTTTAAACCTTGTCCCCAGATGTGAAATCCCTTTTCCATCCAGATTCTCTTCATCTCTTTACCTTAAATGCCCTGGTGTCTTGGCTGCTCCAGTGAACCAGGCTCTTTCTAAGCTTGGAAAGCCAGCTGTCCAGCACATCTCCCCCAGGCTTCAGGCCTCACAGATTCCTGCTTTTCCTAAGCACAAACATAGGTCATGAATTTGTTATTCACCATCCTGAATTATTCAGAGACATTTGCTTGCACACCTTGCTGGCTCAGACACTGAAGCTTGAGACGAGATCGATGCTTTCTGGGAATATCTCTCATCATGGATTACAGGTGCTCAGTAACTACCAGTTGTTTAATTCTGTGCTAAAAAAAATTTTTTTGGCTATTCCTTATTCTTTATTTTTCTCTATATATTTAAAAATAAAGTTCTACTCCCTAAAATTAATAAATAATAAAAACTCCCATTGGATTCTGATTGGGATTGCCTTAAACCTATAGATCTTTGTAGAGAAAATTAACATCTATGCAATACTGAGTTTGATGGTCTGTGAGCACAGAACATGTAGTGTTCATCTGTTATAAGTCTTTAATTTCTGACATCATTTTGTAGTTCTTAGGATATAGGTTTTATATTTTTGTCAAATTTACCCAACTAGAATCACAAACCCATAAAAATCCCATGTTATAAAAAACAAAACAACAAAAATAAGACCTCTGAAAACCCAATGATGAAAAAATAACTAATTTTTCCAGATGGACAAATGATTCAGATAGCACCTCCAAGGAGAAATATAGCAAGATGAAATACTAGGCACATGTCCTTCTATCAAGGCTGGACAAGGCAACCCAGCAGGAGGAAGAGGACCCCAAGCGCAGACAAAAGAGTCAGAGACAGCCCCACTCCCACTGTTGGGAGTCCCACCAGAACACCAAGCTACACAATTATAACATATGCGGAGGTCCTAGTGCAGATCCATACAGAGTCTGTGTTTGTCACATCAGTCTCTGTGAGCCCCTATTAGCCCTGCTTAACTGTAAAATCATAAATCTTAAAAAAGATTGCCAACATAATTTTATTTGAAAGAAGTGGATGCTTATTACACTGATTATGGAAAAAAAAACTACCTCTTAGTAATAAAAGCAATAATTATAAAAAAAAGTATAGAATTAAATGTTGTGGTATATTTTTGATGCTATTATAAATCATCTTATTTTAAATTCCAAATTCTCTTTGTTCACTGAAAGTACATGGACACATAGTTGACTTCTGGGTATTATTCTTAAGCCCTGAAGCTCATTCTGGTAGCTATCTGCACATTCTATAGGAAAGCATTTTGGGGTTCTCCATAGATCATATTAAGTACAAATATAGACAATGTTGCTTCTTTACAAATAGAGGTTTTGAGGTGTAACACAAATCTTAAAAGGTCTTATAATGAAAAAAAAAAACAGAGCCAGATATTGGGGTGAAAGCTGAAAGATCAGAGAAGCAGAACAAGCCAGCCATAAGTTCTTACCTGCATGAAATCTTCAGCCTCAAGAGAGTGAGTTCCTGTTTCCTCATGCCTTACCTACCTTTCTCTGCCAAGACATCACGTCCTGGGATTAAAGGTGTGTGTGCTTCCCAGTAATGGGATTAAAGGTGTGTGGCACCGGGCGGTGGTGGCGCACGCCTTTAGTCCCAGCACTTGGGAGGCAGAGTCAGGCTGATCTCTGTGAGTTCGAGGCCAGCCTGGTCTACAAAGTGAATTCCAGGAAAGGCGCAGAACTACACAGAGAAACCCTGTCTCGAAAAACCAAAACATAAATAAGTAAATAATAATAATAATAATAATAATAATTTTGTACCACCACTGCCTGACCTCTATGTCTAATTCTAGTGACTGGCTTTGTCCTCTGATCCTCAGACAAGCTTTATTGGGGTACCCAATATATCACCACATTGGGGACTTACTGACATAGGCATGATTAAGGGCTGCAGCAAGACCAGTAAGTTGCCACTATTGTCAGGGAAAGGAGACTCACGCAATGTTGGAACAAAAGAGGCTTTATCCAAGCCAGAGTGTCCCTACTTTACCTCAGTCTCACATCAAGGGCCTCGGACATGCTCATGGCATGGATAACACGATCTGGTCACAAGGCTCCACACATCAACAAAATGCTTTTGCTTATTTAATACTCTGCTAGAAGACTGTGAGCCAAATTCACAAGGGCTACTCAGGGACAACCATAGTAGCTATACTCAAGATGGCTACAGCCAGGTCAAGGGGAACCCCTATGTACCGATAGTACTTGACTGTCTCCTTTGATTCCTGTATTTCAGGTCAATTGGTAAGTAGTCTAGAGGTTTGACCAGATTAAGGATACATATTTAGTCATATACTCTCATCAAGAGGTCAGGAGACCCTTTGCCTATCATGCCATCACTGTACAGAGGTTACAGAATGACAGTTCTTTGTGGCTCTAAAGGGAAATGATAGAATTTTGGTCCCATTTTAGGATAATTATGAACTCATGGGTATAAACAAGTTGTAAGGTTTCAATCAATTACAGTTAGTACCCTACAGAACTCCTCCTGTGAATTCCCTACCCTCGCTCTTATCGAAGAGTCCATGTCCTGGCTCTGCTCAGTTACTCTTCTCAAATCATTCAAATACATCTTGGCCTGTCTGAGCCCTTACTTCTCCATGACTGGATCTACCAGCTGGGGAACCATGCTTTTAACACGAGTCTTTTAGAAAGACACTGTTTTAGATCAGGCTGCGCCCTACTCTAAGTTACATCATATTGTGTAAAACAGTAGTTTTCAGAATGTGCCCTGTCCTAGAAAACCCCATTTAACCAACAGCTTCTGGCTCCATTTGATAATGGAGGATGAGTCTGTGCTTACATGGACCTATGCACAGCACCATCTGACTGGTACCACCGACACATTACAGACCTATAAATGACTTCTCCCTGGGGGGTAGAAAGGGTACCCAAGGCCTGCAGAGTTGGCCCATCAGTTAAGAACACTTGTTGCTCTTGCAAGATGGCCTGAGATCAGTTTCCAACCCCCACATGGTGGCTCATAACTGCCCATAACTCCAGTTTCAGGAGATCTGATGCTCTCTGTTGGCCCATATGGGCACTAGGCATGTACACAGTACACATACATCCATGCCAGCAAAACACTCATAAACATAAATAAATAAATAAAACAAAATCTTTCCTTAAAAAGAGAAAAGGCTGGGCATAGTGGCACTCACCTTTAATCCCACACTCAGGATGCAGAGTTAGTTGGATCTCTGTGAGTTCGAAGCCAGCCTGGTCTAATAGTGAATTCCCAGCACTGTGACAGTGACAGACACTACTGTCCTGTCATTTTACATTTTACCACTGTGTGTGCATGTGCGTGTGTGTGTATGCGCGTGTGCGTGTGCGTGTGCGTGTGCGTGTCTAGAACAACTCTTATAAAGAAAAGCATTTAATCGGGGGCTGGGACTGGTGTACTACCATGCTCTGATCCTTCCCTATTTTAAGTCAGCTATTTTCAGCTTTAAATAAGCTTTATGCCTATTCGGTAATGGGGGCAAGCTAAGTGGGTCCCCACAAAGACAAGCGAGCATTTACCAGGGAATATCAGCACATTGGGGCTCCTGACTCTGTGAGTCCAAACATTCAACCTCTGTAAGAGACGGACTATGCCAATCCCAAATGCGCTTCTTTGGCACAGAGGTTGTTTTGAACTGACTGGTTTGAGAAATCAAAGGTGCAGGAGTAGCTCTGAAAACAGCAATTACTCTTTCGTAATAGAAGCACACACGGATAACCGGAAGCTCCTATCAATGGAAGAGCCAGGGATTTCAATCGATCTCTGTAACAAACCTTTCCCTTGCCCAGGACACATTCTGGGCTTCTCCCTGAAGCTGCCCTTCACCAAACTCTTCTTCCTTTGTTTCTTCCTCTCCTCTTTTCCTTGATCAGTTGAAAGTCATACATCACTTCTTGGAGCTTTATTCATTTTTCCTGGATATGTTCCACGAGAAAGGACTGGGATTTAAATTCGAGTGTTGACTGGCAGATCTACATTTGTGTTTCTCTGGCATTGGTGAAGACAGAAGCTTGAGAGTAACCAAGCAACCATGAAAACATGGAGTGATGCTCTAGTGTAAGCATCTGAACTCTCTGTGGGCACTAATGTTACCAGGGAAACTGAGGATTCCTTTTGATTCCTAGCCACACAGATAAAAGAATTTACAAACAAACTCAGAAGAAAGCTTGTGGATGCTTGTATTAAAAGAAAAACAACGGGATAGGAAAGTTGAAAATCTTGACAGCTGCCAGGAGAAGGGGGTATGGAGAAAACACCATGCCTTTTAAGTTAAGTGTGAAGGTCAGAGAAACAGTGTTGGAGAAATACATCGTGCTGAACTGCAGATCTGAGCTCAGAGGAAACAAAATTCTAGCGCTTGTGCCCAAGAGCAAAAGATTGTACCAGAGATACAAGGTTACACATAGAGACAGGTGATAAAGAAAGGAAAAGCATTCCCAAAAATGAGGTGGGGTACTGGGTTGGTGAGCTGAGGAAAGAGCCCCAAAGCTCTGGCCCACATGGCACCTGCCCCTTTATAGGGCATTTGCACAGCACGAGCCTCTCTCTGAAGTTTATACAGTGGGGCTTTTCTAGACTGTGACCATTCGTTACAAGAAGCTCAGGCAAGGGAGGGTTTGCAGTCTTCCTCTGCAAACTGTCTTTTTTTTTTTTTTTTTTCATGTGTTAATGTTTATCTTTCTCTGGCTTCTTCTCTCCTGACACACTAAGATCTTCCCTGTATCACAGACTCTCCAGAGTCAGAGAGGAACTTGGGTCTCTCCCAAGGTGATTGCTTTAAGAGAAAAACACAGGCACAGACTCCCACATCAAGGCCAGCAGGACTTTCCTATGTCTGATCAAAGAAGTTGACACTGAATCTGGAATTGGACCAATGACATATTGAAGGATTAAAATATTCAGTACAATAAAAATATTCACTTTCTGTTTGGGTCAGTGTGTGTGTGCTGTCTGGCTTGTTAGCAGAGATCAGCAGCTGATCTGGTTGTTTTGTCCATGAGGGGAATTTGTAGTCCCTGGGAACCTTAAGACTGTGAAATCCAATTAGCACTCCACATCCTGCTTCTGGCTCTCTGGATTCCCGAGATAGACCCTGGCTAGGCACCCCTTCCTCCCTTTCATCTTTATTACAAAGGGTAAGACTGTCCCAAAGCACAAACATTCCTAGTGCATTGCTAGAACGCCTGCATTTTAGTGTTTTGAGGAAAAAACACAAGTTATCATGATTCAAAGAGCAAGCGATGCTTTACCCTGAGTACTAGATGTTAAATTAAAAAGAACTATCTTACTCTCTTGTAATAATTTTGGGGGAAATACTGTCATGTTGCTTTAACTCTTGCTTTAAAAGTCTTTCTAGCGAATTCTGACAAAGTCACTTACTGTAGACTGGACATAAAGAATAGTGTTTAAAAAATTCCAGTGGACGGAAGGTTACTCTGGGCCAAATTCCTTTTCCTAACTCTTGTGATTTGCACATGACTCCAGCAGTCCCTAAAGCAGCATGTGGGGTTGGTGTTGAGAAATTTTCTGTAGAATTATCTAGTTGACTAGTAGTTGTTGTTTATTTGTTCCCCCCTCCAATGCAAAAAGTCTAAAGAGACGAAGGCCCCACCAAAGACAGTAATTGATATCAGCTGGCGTCTTATATGCTCCAGTAAGACAATGTTCTCAATTTTTCTCATATTAGAATTAACAGGGGAGATTTGGCAAATGTCATGCCTGGACACAGCCCATATGAGCTAAATCATCATCCGTAGGGTGGGATCCAACTAGCTGAATCTGTATTTTTCAAATTCCCCCTAGGACCTAGGGCCTACGTGATTCCCATGTGGGACCAACAGACATGGTGATACAAAATTTTATAATGCAGGTTTCTAACAGAACAGTATAGGGTTCTCTAGGGGGGAAATCAACAGAATGAATATATATTAAAAGAAGACCTATTACATTGGCTTACATGATACACTGCATAGTCCAGCATGACTCTTCACACACTGAGACCAGATGCCTCAACAGTGCCAATCGGGTGCTAAAGGCCTGGGGGATTCTGGAGAGCCAATGGTGTCCAGGCCACATTAGAAGGCCAAAGAAGCTGAATTCCAGCAGCAGCAGCAGCAACAACAACAAGGTGAGGGCAAAGGCAGGCAGAGAACAACAGCTTCTCCCCTGGACCTCCTTACATCTGGGCCACCACCAAAAGGGGGCCACCACTTCCCCTCCCCCAAACAGTTAATCCTCCCAAGAAATATCTTTACAGATCTGTCTAGAAGTGTCTCCAAGTTGATGCCAAGTCCAACCAAGTTGACAATCTAGATTGTCCACCCTACTTAGTGCCTCTCTGCTAAAATTACAATGTCAAAAGAGATCCGTGGGTACCGTATAGCGTCCTTCATTGTGTGTGTCATTTCGTTGTTGTGGTTGGTGCTTTGTTTTGCTTTGATTTTTTTTTCTTTTCATGCCTGCTCTGAATGTGACAGCAGCAACACGTGTAGAGCTGTACATGTAGATATTCATATGGATATAGCTGAGATGATCTAATAGATATAGATATAAAACTGTGTATTTCCATATAGCTCATCTTTTTTTTTTATTGCTGACCTTCCTTAGATTTTTTTAATTCTTTTTTTTTTAAAAAAATCTTTTTTAGTTATTTTATATACCAACCACAGATCCCCCTCTCATCCCTCTTCCCGCTCCTCCCCAGTATCCCCCCTCCCTTTCCATCGCCTCCTCCAAAAGGGTAAGGCCTCCTTCCATGGAGAGTCAGCAGTGTGCCAGGGTCATCTTTGTTAATAGGATGTAATCCCCTCTGAGAACGGGGATATTGTATTTCACTGCACCCCCACTGCTTTTCTCTGAACTATTTTTCCTAGTTGCTGTGATAAAATACCCAACAACAGCAACCTAAAGAAGGAAGGGGTTTTTCTATCATAGTTGGAGTCTATGGTTCATTGTTTCCATAGACATGAAGCAGAGAACGTCAAAAGCTTGTGGTCAGATCACTGTCTCCTTCTCCTAGGCAGGATCCCAGCCCAAGGAATGGTGCTGCTTGCAGTGGGCAGGCCTTGCCACCTCAATTAACTTATTCAAGATATTCCCCCATGGGTATGCCCCAAGGCCAGTCTCCCAAATGACTCCAGATTTCAAGTTGACTGTTGAAATCAACCACTACTTTACTCCATATTAAGGACATTCCTCCTTGAGTCTTATCTCTTCTTCTACTGAACTGTAAGCATCTTGAAGATGAAAATGCTCAATGCAGCCTGACTCCACTTTGCTCTGTCTAAACCATCATAGTACTTTGTAGGTAGTGAATACTCATGATATACTAACACAGTTCCGTGTGATTTTGTAAAACAATTGTGGGTTTTTCCCTCCTCATCCAGCCTTTTAAAAAGGCATCTTGAACTTTCGTGAATACGTCTAGGGAAGAAAGCAATCCTATAAAAAGGTTGAAATCCAAATTATGCTTTCAGTGACAAATGTTCTCTTTTTCTTTGACATTTATTAAATGTCAGCAGCACATCGAGTGCTTGGCAGATTACATTTTGCTTCTTTTAAGAATGCTCAGATGATGTAGACCCCATACTGTTCTGTCATTTCCAACAGGGGAAGGGGTGATTACAAACATGAACCTGTCTATCTGTCTAGAGATATCATAAACATTTTGCTTGCATTTTAAATTTAAATTTTAAGTTTTTCAAAACATTAAATTAATTTAAATACGGGGGAACTGGTTTTAACTGTCACCCTATAACTTCTTGAAACCATTTATTTAAAAATAAACAGACTAGGGGTGGGGATTTAGCTCAGTGGTAGAGCACTTGCCTAGCAAGCGCAAGGCCCTAGGTTCGATCCTCAGCTCAAAAAATAAAAAATAAATAAACAAGCAGACTAAATAAAGGCATCCTTGTTCGCTTGCTAATGGAAGTCCCCACATGTTCTCTCTCGGGGGGAGTCTCACTTACTTAAGGCAGCAGTGTCAGTAATGCAGACATGAGGAGGATCGTGGCCCTCTGAGCTTTCTCATCCTGTCCCCCTGTGAGGAAACAGAGAGAAGGCGTTGCTTGTGAGCCTGTAAATCAGCTCCTGTCATGTGTCAGCTTTACTGCATCGACTGTGGCCTTTCCAGACTACGGAGCTGTGAGGAGTACAGCTTGCAATCTGTGGCTTCACTCCAGGACCGTTCCTGCACTGTGGATGTGCAAGTCCAGTGTGATCATAGGTGTAGGGAGGGTGGAGGTATACATGGGCATAGCAACAGTCTCCCTGCCAATTGTGATGTTCCTCTTACGTTTTTACTTCAGTGCATGTCATCAAAGCCTAAGCTGCTTACTTTTTCAGCAATGTGATTGTTCCCTTACTCCACTCCTAGTTAAGTTTAATTAATCCAGTCTCCAGCAGAACATTCCTATTTCCTCAGCCTTTTTGCTGTTGACTTCAGTTCAGCTATTCATTACCTTCTACTTGATATGTAGTCATTGTGTTATAACCGGTTCCTCGGGCTTGACTGTCTAGATTCTGTACCTTACCCAGAGTGGAACATCTAACTCATAACTATGACATCACTCTCCTGATTACAACTGTGCTTAAATGCTTTGTCTCTACAAATGTCTAACTCTTAATCTCTCACATTTTATGTAATAGTATTAAGCAATAGGGGAGGTGATTAGATCATAGCGCTCTATTCCATTCCTGAGGAAGAATGGGGTTAGCATTTTCTTGAAAGGATTAGAGGGAGCTGTTTTGCCCCTCTTGACGGTCTTCCATGTGAGAACTCAGTAGCCACACACCGTCTGTAGAAGATGACGGCTCTTCTCAGAGGCCACTGTGCTCCAACCTTGACCTCAGACTTCCCAATCTTCAGAAGCAAAAGCTGTAGATTCCATTGCTGATAAATTACCTCGTCTAAGATATCTTGTTGTAGCAGTGAGCAAAGACTAAAACAAACCCTTATCCCATCACCTTCAGGGTAAAGCCAGAATGTAAGAGTTTAAGAGAAAAGTACAATCCCACTGGTACACTCCTAGGAAATAGTAATAATGTAAGCATCACAAGTGTCAATACTCATGGGATTCAATGAAAACTAGAGCCAGAAAAAAGTCATAGCTCCGAAGACTTAACTCAATAAACAAGACATTTCTCTTCAAGAAATCAGAAAATACAAAATAAATCTAAACCACACAGAAAGACAGAATCACAAAGATAAATATAAAGATAGTTTGATCACAGAGCTCCAGATGTAACTATTGCACCCATGTCGATTTTTCTGTGGTGGGTAGAGTGAATTAATATACAAAAAGCTGATCCCTTTATATATACAGACAGCAAGTTGGGATGTAGAAAGGATAAAAACTCTATTGGCTGGTGGCTCTTCTGTTATCACCACACCTGATACTTGCTTTGTGTTAAATAAACCCATTTTCCTTAAAAGAAAAACAACAGCTATTAGTGATATAACAAAAACAGCAAAATATCCAGAAACTAATTTAACAAGGAAAAAAAACCTTAAAATTGCTGTCTGGAACAGAAAAGATGAAAAATGGAGTAGTAATCCATATTCTGATTATGATGATGATGATGAGAATTTTCAGAAAGATGTGTACATGTTCCTCTAGTCCCTTGGAAATTAAATATGAGTGAGAAGGAATAAGAGTGGAGTTCAAGGATAAACTGGGCCAAGTATTATCAAGCAATGTAAAATAAAAACAGTGTCTTCTGTGGCTGAAAAGGCAGCAATAGTGCAAATGCAGAGAGCATGTGTCTAACTAACGCACATGCTGATCTGGCTAGTGTGCATATACAATAGGACAGCATTGCAAACCATTGGGAAATAATTAAAATTATATTAGTTAATGAGTGCTGTTGGAACAATTCTTAACCACATAGAAGAGTAAATTTATCATGATTTCATGTATTTATAAAAGGTTTTATTTGTATCCGCCGCCAAGTAAGTCAACCAGCCCCTTCCTCATGGGGGCCTTGTGTGCAGTGGTTGTGAACAGTAGCCTCATGGGAGCGCATTTAACCTGTTGCCTACAGGGGTTGCCCTGCGGGACTCTGGAGACAGTTTTCTGGTGGATATTCATATCTCTGATCTCAACACTGTGTCCAGTCTAGGTATGCCTGATGCCTTTGGGAAGCCCCAGGCAGTGACCAGGACTCTCACACTGGCCAGATCATCCTGTCCATGCACCAAGCTGCAGAGTAAGGACTGTGGGACTGAGGCACTGTTCACATTTCCTGGCTACGTCAAAGAACTGGGACTTCACCAAGTCTAACGCAGATGAACCTGAAGACATGGTAGCTGAGAAGAAGCAGCTCATCCTTGGTGGCAGTTTGATCAAACATATCCCTGGTGTGGTCCCCTGGACAAGTGGCAGCCTCTGCACTCCTGAGGGCTTTCACGCTGCTGTGTTGCATCCCATCAAATCATGTTCAATAATAAACCTCACATCTAGTCAAATTAAAAAAAAATTATTTTTGTGTTATGTGCGTGTCTATGTAAGTGGATGCTACTTGTGAGTAAGTACCCGGGAGTGTCAGATCCCTTAGAATTGGAGTTAGACACAGTCATGAGGCACCTGGTGTGGGTACTGGAAACCAAACTCCAGAGAACCTCTGGAAGAGCATCATGTGCTCTTAACTTCTCTCCAATCCCATTATTTCATATCTTACAAAAAGAAAGAAAGAAAGAGAGAGAGAGAGAGAGAGAGAGAGAGAGAGAAAGGAAGGAAGGAAGAAAGAAAGAAAGAAAGAAAGAAAGAAAGAAAGAAAGAAAGAAAGAAAGAAAGAAAGAAACTCCACATGGCCTAAAATTTTAAAATAAAAAAATTAAATCACAAGCATACTGAAAGAAAATATGACAGCCAAAAGGATGTTCTTGGAGTTGATAAGGCATTCCTGGGTATAAAATGACCCAGAAGCCATACGAAAGATCAAAGCCCGAAACTACATTGGCTTAAAGTATCTCTGCATCTCCACATAAGAAACTGAGACAAAAATTAAAGGAGTAATTTCTTATAAAAGAAGCACCTATAAATCAACAAATTATCTTCTGGCAAATTATTAAGAAAATGTAAAAAATGCAACCAGATATTCACAGGCAAAGAAATATGGCTTTCGAATTTGTGAAATGGTATTCCATTTTCAGATTTAAACAAAATAACATAAATGGAAAGCAAAACTAAAAAGAAAGGTGATAGCTTTCAAAAAAGGAAAATTTAGTTAAAAACTGTATTGTTAAGAATGTGGGGAAGCCAACTTCTTTTTTTTTTTTTTTTTTTTTTTTTTTTTTTTTTTGGTTTTTCGAGACATCGTTTCTCTGCGTAGCTTTGCACCTTTCCTGGAGCTCACTTGGTAACCCAGGCTGGCCTCAAACTCACAGAGATCCACCTGGCTCTGCCTCCAGAGTGCTGGGATTAAAGGCGTGCACCACCACTGCCGGGCCCAACTTCTTAAACTGCAGACAGCACGCTGAATGGGAACACGTTCTCCGGAAAGGAATTGATCAATGTAGTGTCTTTGCAGAACTACAGTTTGACACACACCTTATTCACTGTTCTATTGCTCTAAAGAGACACCATGAGCAAGGCAACTCTCCTAAAAGAGAGCATTTAACTAGGGGCTTGCTTACAGTTTCAGAGGCTTAGTCTGCTACCATCATCGTGGGGGGCATGGTGGCAGGCATAGCACAGGAGAAGTTGTTGAGAACTCCATCCTGATCTGAACACAAAGACAGACAGCCTGGGACCGGCATGGACTTTTGAAACCTCAAAGCCCACTTCCAGTGACACACCTCCTCCAACAATGTCACACCACCTAATCCTTTCAAATAGTGCTACTTCCCTGGTGACTAAGCATTCAAATATATTAGAAGCTTATGGGGGCCGTTCTTATTCAAACCACCTCAATGCAGGTACTTTGGATCAGCCATGCATCCAGCATTTGTCTTATATGGAAGATACATGTTCTTACATGTGCAAAGTTATAAATGGACACAAATAATAATTACTGTATTGGTATGATGACAGAAAAGCTGTAAGTATTTACTGTAGTAAAGGGTTAAATGAATTATGATGTATTGATATATTGTAAAAAGAAATAATTTTGTATGTATTAAAATGGGAAGATCTGGAAATGTATTAAGTCGAATAGTTAGAGAATATGTTTGTTACCTCTTGTGGGTAGGAAACATACAGAACTAAATTCTTTTGGTTTTCTGTTTACAACTTTATATATACACATGTGTGTGTGTATATATATATATATATACATACACACATTATATTGGCAAAAGCTGTATTTACCATGTACAACATGATATTTATTATCAAGGATATATAAATTATAGAATGACTAGGCCTAGTTAATTTACAAGTGAAATACCTCACATACTTACAATTTTTGTAAAGCATCTTCATTGTCTTATGATTTTATAAAAGCACAACATATTATTAATCGGCCAGCATGTTTTACAATAGCTCTCTTAAACTGACTCTTCCTGCCTCACCGAAGGAAACTTTGTATCCTTTATCCACGTCTCCTCAGCTCTCACTAACCACGGCAGCCCCAGGACAGTCCATTCTACTTTTCATTTCTATGATCCAGCGTGCTTATGAAAAATGGTCAGCACAGTTAATCATCGTGGAAATGCAGGTTGAAATATGGTGAGGTGACACCTCACGACTGTTAGCACAGCTGTCACGACAAAGACAAAAAGTGCCGTTGAGGTGTCTCGGCAGCCAAAGGCTCCCGCCGCCAACACCGACGAACTGAATTCCGTCCCCAGGTTCCACATGGTGGAAGGTGGGAACTGACCCCTGAAGGTTGTCCTCTGACCGCCACATTCACACCGTGGTCCACACACAGACATGCCATGCCACATCACACCGCACACAGACAGTAAGTGTGAGTGAGGATTTGGAGAAAGGGGAAAGCTTCACACCATTGATGGGAATCCAGGTGAGTCCACCCTTCAGAAAAGCAGTCTACAATCACGTGACTCAACAATTCATCTGTCTGGTACATACCCAAAGAAGATAAAAGCAGTGTGTCTAATAAAAACTCCCATGCTTATTAAAACACTGTTCACAATAGTTTATTTTAAAAGTAGTGTTGATAAACGAAAGTTTATTAAAACACTGTCCACTGTTCACAATGGAAACAGCTTTAGTGTCTATCAACAGAGAAATGGATAAAGTGAATGTGATTAACGTGTTTGTGAGCCCAGCGAATGCTATTCCGTCATAAAAAGCAGGCAGTCTTGTCATGTGTGGCACCGTGTACGAACCTGGATGTCACTGTGTTACGTGAAAAAGAACAGACACAGGGCTTGGGGATTTAGTTCAGTGGTAGAGTGCTTGCCTAGCAAGCACAAGGCCCTGGGTTCGGTCCTCAGCTCCACACACACACACACAAAAAAAAAAAAAGAAAAGAAAGAAAGAAAGAAAGAAAGAAGGAAGGAAGGAAGGAAGGAAGGAAGGAAGGAAGGAAAGAAAGAAAGAAAGAAAGAAAGAAAGAAAGAAAGAAAGAAAGAAAGAAAGAAAGAAAAGAAAAAGGAATAAAGTCCCTAGAGTATAATATGTTTCTCTTTAAAAAAAAAAAAAAAAAGAAGAAAAGAAAAGAACAGACACAGGAAGACAATGATCTCATTTGTCTGTGGAAGCTCAAAGAACCACGCCAATCTTAAAATGCACAGGCATTCCTATTAGAATTCTCAGATTATAGAGCCCTCAGACTAAAAATTAGTGCTTCTAGGAGAGGGTACCTGCTTATCGAAAAGAGAACATCTATCTGTTCACTGTGTTCCCTAGTGTGCCTTCTCAGTTTGGAGTAGATGTGCAAATTGTTTTTTCAAATAAATAAAAATCAGTTTAAACTGTATCCAGTTAGAACCAACGGAAAGCATTGATTTTGCCGTCCCCAAACGAGATACCTGCCCTGGAAAGGGTTGGAGCTGGGGGAGGGGGCAGGGAGGGAGGGAGGGAAGTGTGTCAGTCTTTGGCGCTGATTTATCTGGGGAAAGGAAGTCTGCGGCAGTTGGTTTTGATTACATGAAGAGCACTACCCCAGAAAGCACAGCTGGCCAGCTGCGGTTTGTCTCTGCTGAGTCTGCAGCAAGGAGGAATTAGGGCAGAAGGGACTGGAGTTATGAAAAATCGCAGTGGTCAAGTGTTCCGCGCTGTTGGTCCTGGTCAGGGCTTGAATACTAGGTCACTGGACCATGTTGTTCGTGGGTGTTGCTTCATGTGTTCTTCCTTATCTTATCTGTGTGTTATCCAAACACAGAGGGCCTCCAAGGTTACTTCAGGCCACCAAGAATGTGAAGGGCGTCAGGTCACTGTGGGGGCCACAGGGATGGGCTGGCCTGCTCTCACACATGGGGGCAGGGGCTGGGCACCACTGAGGCGGCAAGAACAGCCTTCAGGTAATGGGGCACGCTGAAGACAGGGAGTCACCACAGACTTCAGCCCAGGGAAGCCTTCCTAGGTGTGTTTAGAATGGTCTAGAGATAAATCCCAAGGCTCAGTGGATGATTGGAGAGACTGCTGGGTTATTTTTGAAAAGAGGAAAAGGAGTAAAGGGAAAATTGACAGAAATGAATGGAAAGGCAAAGTGGATTGACTTCCTGGTGCTTTCCCTGTCAGAATCCTGAAGAGGCAATAACTTTAATTTAATTTTATTTTTTTTCTTTATTTTTATTTTTTTATTTTACAATACTATTCAGTTCTATATAATAGCCACAGATTCCCTTGTTCTCTCCCTTCCTGCCCCCCTCCCCTTCCCCCCAGCCCACTCCCCATTCCCACCTCCACCAGATCAAGGTCTTCCCCGAGGACTGGGATCGACCTGATAGACTCAGTCCAGGCAGGCCCAGTCCCCTCCTCCCAGATTGAGCCAAGCGTCCCTGCATAAGTCCCAGGTTTCAAAGAGCCAACTCATGCAATGAGACCAGGACCCGGTACCACTGCCTAGATGCCTCCCAAACAGATCAAGTCAATCGACTGTCTCACCTATTCAGAGGGCCTGATCCAGTTGGGGGCCCCTCAGCCTTTGGTTCATAGTTCATG